CGGCAAAGGCAAAATGCAAAATGCAAAAGGCAAAAAGTTGTTGACGAGGCCAACAACACGCGGTGTTCCCAAGCGGTCCCCCATCTAAGTACTAACCGCGCCCGACGCTGCTTAATTTCGGTGATCGGACGAGAACCGATGTGTTCAGCGTGGTATGGTCGTTGGCGAAAGTCGCATGTCTAAGCGTTGGGCTTATACTCTGATTTTTGCTCATTCCCAGAGACAGAGTCAGCCACTTGTTTCTATTCATACTTGCCACTAACCTTAGGGAAATAGTGGAATTGCTTTTGATAGTATTAAAAACATTGAGGAGGTTCTGAACGTATCTCTTGGAAAATCAGCGCGAGAAAAAATTTTGGAACAAGCGATAGAAAATTGGATGGAGTTTTGATTTGAGTTGGCTGGCCGAAATGGTATTGAGATTGTGTAAAATAAAACAAGAAAGAAAAGCTAACTTCGGACGAAGCCGAAGTTGATATACCCTTGCAGAATATTCTGTAAATTATATTCTTCAAAATCATTCATATGATGTATTCTTAATACTCATAAAAAGTCCCAACTTCCTAACTTTAAAAACACCAAAGTTATGGCATTTCCAATCGTTCAGTAATATGGCAGCTATAGGATATAGTCGACCGATCATTATGAAATTTGGTAGGTCGGATTGATTGGCCAAAAATAAAACCCATAGAAAATCCCAACTTCCTAACTTTACAAACACCCAAGTTATGGCATTTCCGATCAATCAGTTATATGGCGGCTATAGGATATAGTCGTCCGATCCTTATGAAATTCGGTAGGTCGGATTAATTGGCCAAAAATAAAACTTATAGAAAATCCCAACTTCCTAACTTTAAAAACACCAACGTTATGGCTTTTCCGATCGTTCAGTTATATGGCAGCTATATGATATAGTCGCCCAATCCGGCTCGTTCCGACTTATATACTACCTGCAATAGAAAGACAACTTTTGGGAAAGTTTCAAGCAGATAGCTTTAAAACTGAGGGACTAGTTTGCGTAGAAACGGACGGACGGACGGACAGACGGACAGACGGACATGGCTATATCAACTCAGGAGGTGATCCTGATCAAGAATATATATACTTTATAGGGTCGGAAATGTCTCCTTCACTGCGTTGCAAACTTTTGACTGAAATTATAAAACCCTCTGCAAGGGTATAAATATAAAGGCGGCCGGCAAAGGCAAAATGCAAAAGGCAAAAAGATGTTGACGAGGCCAACAACACGCGGTGTTCCCAAGCGGTCCCTCATCTAAGTACTAACCGCGCCCGACGCTGCTTAATTTCGGTGATCGGACGAGAACCGATGTGTTCAGCGTGGTATGGTCGTTGGCGAAAGTCGCATGTCTAAGCGTTGGGCTTATACTCTGATTTTTGCTCCTTCCCAGAGACAGAGTCAGCCACTTGTTTCTATTCATACTTACCACTAACCTTAGGGAAATAGTGGAATTGCTTTTGATAGTATTAAAAACATTGAGGAGGTTCTGAACGTATCTCTTGGAAAACCAGCGCGAGAAAAAATTTTGGAACAAGCGATAGAAAATTGGATGGAGTTTTAATTTGAGTTGGCTGGCCGAAATGGTATTGAGATTGGGTAAAATAAAAATATAAAGGCGGCCGGCAAAGGCAAAATGCAAAATGCAAAAGGCAAAAAGTTGTTGACGAGGCCAACAACACGCGGTGTTCCCAAGCGGTCCCTCATCTAAGTACTAAACGCGCCCGACGCTGCTTAATTTCGGTGATCGGACAGAGTCAGCCACTTGTTTCTATTCATACTTGCCACTAACCAAATCGTGCATATAGACATTTACATTAAACTATTTATTTGTAAGAAGTAGCCCCATTTTTTTGTGGCCGTAGCTACGTAAAGAAAAGCTTTAATTAAGCCAAAGTAAAGTTGGCGCTCGTAAAAATTCCAATGTCAATGAAAACTTCATAAATCAAACGAGTAGTTCGCTTCCTTGGAAATTCTTGAAAAAAGGCGTCGAACTATTCCGGACTCCCCATTCTGCCAGCAGCTAAATATTTCTTAGCTTACGTGTCTATTTGCAAAGGGGTAGCTGATCCACTACCCTTCGTTCCATGGCCCTCCAACCCCGAAGATTTCATGAGGGATGGGCGTGGTGGGGGCGGGTCAGTTGACGCTGTTGTTTTCATAAGCTGTTGCCATTGTTGTTGCCGCTGCTGCATTTGTTTTGGCATGTTTATTGCACTGTCAACGGCAATGCATGAAAAGTTTTAGTTAGCCAAGTTAAGTTGTTGCTGGTGACAAACCCTCTGCGTGCAGGACCCGTATTTGCTCCCCGGGAGTTATCCGGCTCTCCTCTGCCCGATCCTTTGCCCGACCGTAACTGTTAATGTGTTTGAAGTCAAATTGTCGGCAGTCACGTGACCAGCAGCAGCAACTGTGACCTGCAACAGCCAAACAACTTTATCCATGATTAATCAGTTGCATTTAAATGTGTATGATATCCTGGGCAGGGCTCGTCCTATGCTGAAAACTGCAGTCATCTGACTTTTTACTCCTCCTTTTTGGCCAAGCTCGAGTGCTCATATCCGGCCGGCAGATGGGCGAACTGCTTATGATTAATTTAATGCATTCAAAATTTAACTACAACTTCATTTCGCGTTATGACGCCGGGCAACAAATCGCCGTGCGTTAATTAATTTTAATAACCATCTTTATTCCCACCTAACAGCTGGCCAAGTCACGCGTGTGTGCTGCCTTAACTGTGCCATCGTAAATGTTTAATGGCAAAACACTTAGTTGGCCAAAGTGGAGTGCTTTGGTAGCGCAACAAACGTACACCCACGTATTCAAATGAAAAAAAGAATTATACTTAGAAATGGCTGCATAAATAAAAATGGTTTTATCAAATGGGTTTTACCATGTTCCTAGGAAATTAATTATAAAGTGCTCTCATTTAATTTGAAATGCAAAAGTTTTGACTGGAAAAATTGTAATTTCGAGTGGATACAAATATAACGAATATGCTTGTCAGTCAGATGTTCACTTTCAGAGAACATATATTCACGGAAGTCAATTTGTGCTTAACAGATATGACTATGCATAATCGTAACATACGACAATTCTTTGGCTTCATTTTTTACACCACCCTTATAAGGATCGAGTGGGTTTCCTTAAAGGGGGTTTTCCTTTGTGGCCCCGTTCCGAGAATTGCTTTCCCTTTGAATTCATTTCTTTTGTGGCGGTAGGGCAGCAGTGTATTGTAAATATTCATTACATGTGTGCAGCAAATTTTAATTTTTTCGCAAAACTGCAAAACCGAAAGAGGGTGGCTCACACACTTACCATACCGCACCGTACAATATACAATATACAATATACTTCTGGCTCCCAACGCATTTTCCCCTTGAGGGCCGAGGGTTGGCACTGAGTGCACGACATTCATTGTGCTTAATGAACACTCGCATCCATTACGCTTGCATTATGTATGTAATGTCATAAATAATCAACAAAAAACGTGCGCAACGAAAACCATAAAAAATTTGCCAATATTGCTTAAAATACCGGCAACAGATGCCGCAAATTCGCCATGCCAATGCCATGTGGTTTTCTATTTTCACTAAATTGTATTTTGTGTTGCGGTCTAAAAATATGATCTTTGAGCTCTCAAAAGTTATTTTCAAAATACTGATTAATTTTTTTTGGTATCACATGAATTAGTGTTACATTTATCAAACAGCAAAATTCAAGTTTTAGCAGATTAAGTAAAAGTAAAAGATCTTAAATGGATTCGAAATATTGCAGTCATCTTTTGTACTTTTAAATCGAATTGACATCCATAGAGCGTGTTATAAATCACATTTGTTTGTTTTCCAAATATTTACGTATTTAGTTGGAGTTTAGTACTTCGAAATGATCCCTAAATGGTGAACAAAAAGCTAACACATCAACCCCTTCCTTGTATTTTGTGTGTTTAACAAATGTGAACTACAGATGCCGCGGAAATATAAAGGGACTTGTATCTCATATATCAGCACATTCTTCTGTCTGTTTTCCGAATGGGTAACGCTCTCCACAGAGAGATTTCAATCGAGTGGTTCACCAACAACCCTTTTCACGCTGTTAACCAACTATCTGTGACCCTCGCTTTTGTCACCCTCCAAGGACCCAGATGCCCAGGTTTTGGAATGGTTCTGGCTCTGGCATTGGCATTGGCATACCTGCCGCGCTCGTAACCCGCCATTAATACTCATTAGTAGCCGAGGTTCGGCGTGTGCCTTTATCAGCCATTTAGCCACTTTGTGTAATCCCAGGGAGCACAACAACCGCAACAAAATGCGTGCTTATTTGGGTGTGGGCTAAGGTCTTGGGTTGTGTTTTTATTTTTCTACTTTTTTGTCTATACTCTTAATAATATTAAAAAATACACCCATGGGGACAACGATTCGGTTTGTTTGTTTGGTTAGTTTCGCTGATGGTGGTGGCTTGATGTATCTGACCGTTTGCTGGGGCAGACGCATAAATTTCCTTTGTCTAAACCCCCAAGACAATTAGAGGCACGGCAGGGAAATGCCAGGGGCGGGTGTTTCGGTGTTTTGGTGGCTCGGTGGTTCGGTGGTTCAGTGAGTAAGAAGTGCAAAATCGTTTTATATCCATTGAGAAAGACAATATAACAAAACACATACAATGCCAGTGACATGCGACGTTTCTCAAGTGATAAATGATGTCGCCCGTTACTTGCATTGGCTTTTTGAGTAGCAGGCGTCTCTTCAGTTTGAGGCACGTTTATTTGCGCTGTAAAATGGTTTAGCATTTGCCTAGCCCCTCTCCTTTGCGTTCTTTTTCTACATCACCGTCTGACTTCCGTTTCCTCAGCTTTTTTTTTGTTCTATTTTTTGAGTGTGTGCCGGGCAAAATGAATTGCATGGCTTGTTTACTGTCATGTTAGCCAAACGAGTTGACAAGCGCAACGGCATTTGATTAGCCCGGAGGAAAGGCTTGCCATCTAATACTAGTGGGAGCTACGCAGCAGATTGAAGTAGCTGTAGGCCCCACGCATAATCTGCAAAGGGACGTTTGAAATCGATGAATCTGGGCAATCGAGGAATCCTTACGTCTATAAAAGTGGTCAGATTCAGTTCGACCAGCAAAGCGCGCATCTTCATCGGCCGCTGGGCATGCATCATCACAAAGAGCACCGTCCGTTGCAAAGATACTTCGAAGTTGTACCATCCACACGAAAAGTACGCAATGGACAATTCATCGTGCTGAAAAAAAAATCAAAACTTAAACGAGTCTACCAAGGGAAAGCGAAGTAAACAAAAATCGTCTGGGAAGAGGATAAATGAAAAAGGTTCGAAGGATATGGAAGGATTTTGAATTGATCCGGTTTTATCCGATATGTGTATCTACCTCTTTTTTGTGCTAAGAATGAAATCATACAAAACAGATGAAAAACAAATCTTTACAAATAAAATAAAATAACTCATGACCATTAATAAATAAAAGCGATTTTAAACAATATTAATTTAAATGTACCCACACATTCAACAATTAATGTGGCATGCCAGTGGTACAACCACAGTATACCCGCCATTACAAAAATATAAATAAACATGAAGAAGTAATCCATCTTGCCGGGAACCTGTAAGAACACATTTGACATTATTTGAAAAATCATGTTTAAAAGGTTTCAACATACGCCAACGGCCAATGCAAAAAAGAGAAAGCACATGGGAATCGAAAAGATAATAAAATCTGCCATTACTGGCACGCAGATCAGCTGCTGTAGCTCCTTGACATATTTCCGAATCCTTATCTGCTCCTCTATGAATTCCTTGAAGAGTTGCATTCTCCAGTAGGTTAGCTCAGAAGGAGATAGACGATCTATATCCAAATATGGATTAAGACGTGTTATCTATTCAAAGTCCAACCATGAATAAAAAAAAAGTTAGAAAGTTAAGCCAAAGATACTTACATCCATCTCCTCAACCCGCTTGTTGAGTACCTGCAGCTTGAGGTTTACGTACTTCATTAAGCAAGTGATAAAGGTATGCCACAATGGGATGACTCCGATGCCGAGAGCCAGAACGTACCAAGCTCCAAAATATCTGATCACGAAATTGTCGATCAGCTCTCCAAAGGGATACAGTTGGAACATCAGAATGGGTTGCTCTTCACCTCGTCGCACCGCCGGAACATTGAACACCGATTTCGGTAGAAAGAAAGTCCTGTAGATGCAGTCCAAATAGGCCATCGATCCAGCAAATATCGAAGGCACCCACAGGGCCAAGGTGATGTTTCTCGTATAAACCTGCGTTTCAACCACCAGTTCCATCTCCCGATCATCAGCTTCGGATAGTAGGTTCTGGAGATCCGCGTTGGCCACTCGCAAAAGATGAACTACTCCTGATTGAGCACAGGTTTAGAGTAAATCTCTAAATATTATTGATTTGGGAGGAATCTAAAAACTATTAAACTTACTGCCCCTTTGCACGTAGGCATTAAAAGTGGCAATGGACATCGCAACATACTGGACGGCAGTGGCCCAACTTGTGGCCCCATCATTGAGGTTCTCGTAACCCCGAAAAACCCGGACCAGCATTAAAGCGCAACCCAGCCAGAGGGAGGCGGTGAAAAATATGCCACGGCAGAGGCTAAACCAAGGCCTCCGTTGATCCGTGGATGCCACATACCCGTACCATCGAAAGCAACGAAGATGGAATGCAAAGATGGGATCGTCGAAGGTCTCCGGCGAGAGGCGTAGATCCTTAACTCTGAACATTATGACTGTTTGGCTTGCAACACTTTCGAGGGTCTTTTATAGGGACATAGAGCTAGCTGTTTTGGGTGCTAAGTGGGATAATTATCAAGGGTCCCTGTTAACTGCCAATAATTGTCAAATAATTGTCAACTGTTTACTGATTTAACGACAGGTGCTGCAGTTCTGCATAGACGATTTGGCAATGTACAAAGTGTATGCCCTCTGGCAGATGGCCTTCAAATGTTGTTGCCAAGTTTAAATTTGATTTGCATGTTACGCTCTTCTGGCACCCAAAACTTTGTCCACAACCAGGAGCTGTAATGTCAAACGTGTTTAGGCAGCGTTGCATGCGAGTGAAATAAAACTTTCAGCCCAACTTTTTCCGGCCACCATTCGAGAGTGTCCTTTTCCGGCAGCCAGGCCAGAGTGTAATCAGGTAATGGAAAACGAATAAATAAGGTCTCACAGTCGAGTCTCAGTCCTCCAGGCTTTAATAAAATTAATTTTTGATCTCTGTTCGTTGGATCGAATTGCAGAAAGGAGCAAAACGGCAAACCAGGTGAACCAAATGGGGTCCGGAGTCAATCAAGTGGTCAGATTGCGTTACCAACTATCGACTATCGACCCACGTAACCTCACATGGGGGCCAAAAGGTCCTCCCGGCAAATGGCATTCAAGGAAATCAAATGCGAGGACCCTAGGCGGAGGTCGGCAAACGGGAATCGGGGATTGGGGATTGGGAATCGGAATAGGAGAATCTCGATTCGTTTTTGCATGTGACAATCATATGCAGGAGCTGAGTAATTCGCCAATATATACATGGGTTCCTGGGCCTGGGCATGGCCATCATCGGATATTGTATCTGTGGAGCGGAGCGTGTGCGGCACGAGTGTGTCGTCTATTTCACAATTTGCATTTAATATCCTTGTGTGAATAATTTACAAATGCAATAAACGTAAATGCGTTGGAGGAAACGCACTCAGACATGACTGGGTGCGAACCGATCCCAGTCCAGCACCGAATCCAGCATGAAAATGCTTCACAAGCTCCGAGCTTCGGGAAAATGTGAGGAAATGGATGGGGAGTTTTCGGGTGGGATAACTCAGTGCACGCATATTTGTATGTTGCATGTTTGCAACTGTCTCTCTGATGTTTGTGTTTGCAAATGTGTAAATGCATTCGCAGCTCCTCGTATTTGTCTGTCTGCTGGCGTGAAATTTGCTGTAAGCAATAAGCCTGTGAGGATATTGAAAGTCACTCGTTTCTGGTATTTACTTATGCGTTTGTTTCATGCTCGGTTGCGAAAATGAAAGAGGAAGGATTCGGAGGAGTATCTGTCTGTATTGGCTTGGCTTGGCTTGGCGCTTTTCACGCCACATTTGCCGGGGCAGAGTAATCGGATATTAGCTCGCCTTGCTTATTGTTATGGCATATTTATTGGTAGTCGGAATTGCACACGATGCTGCGTTCAGTTTTGTGGTTAACTTGCAGCTTTAACTGCCCCATAACTAAGGGGATTCCCATTGGGAGTTCGTGTGGTCTGACTCCATCTCCCCTGACATCTTTGTGGGTTTTGTGGCTTCCGTTTCGAAATGGTATTTCCATATTTACTACGATTGCGGTTCATTTACAAGGCTAAAAGTTCAGTCCGAAAGTGGTTGCAAATAGTCATTTAACCCTTCCTTATTGATATCTTTATACTGATCATCTTTAAACCCTTTAGTTATTGGTATCTATAAATATACAAATCTATATGATAATGATTATCTTAGTCGTAAAGTTAAAGTTTGTAATGTACGCGTATCCAACAAAGAGGCTAAAGAGTATCATCCATCATTGAAATAATATTAGTTTGCCATTATGTTGGCAGGAAATCTTGTGTAATCTTTTTCACAACTAGCGAAAACTTGAAACTCTGCAACTTTGAACATTGTTGTTGGCCATGAAATATAGCCATATTTAACCTTAAATAAAGTCTTTCAAAAGTTCATAGACTTAAAGAGCGGGAGGTGCTTTCTTGGGTGTTGGGCGCCAACCAGCCACTAAATTGTTTACACGCAATTTCATCAAAACAATAAATCATGCAGTTGAATCGGCACAACAAAGGCGGCGACAACGACGACGTCCGCTTTCCCGCTTTTCCGCTTTCCTTCCAGACGACGTGACGTCAAGTTGACATTTGGTGAAAATCAAATCAAAAGCATTTTTCCGCACAGCGGAAGTGGCGCAAGTAGCGAGTCAAACTTGGCAAACACACATTTATAACTCGGGGGTTATAGTGGGACCCACAAACACAGAAATCCCCAACATGCCCCATGTACATATATATATATATAGCTCCTATATGGAGTAAAAGTATATATTTGCGCTGAATGCCTGACGGTCAGGTCATCAATCGTGTGGCTGAAAGAAGGAGCAGCCAGGCAGCTTCAGTTGCGCCATTTTATTTAATTTATAAGTATAACATTTAATATTAATTATACGCCACGTAAGCTCATTGCGCACGCCGCTGAAAAGCCAGGCCCTTAAATATGTACGAATGGGTGTGCGATGTGTGTGTGTGTGGCTAGGGGCCACAGCTTTTTATTTCGCTCATTAACTATGCATGTTTGTTGGCACTGCAATGGCCACAATGGTCAACATCGGTGGGCGAGCGAAGGGGGCGTGGCAATGGCAGGACGAAAGGGCTGGAGTCGAAACAGGAACAGCGGAAAATTCCCATTTTAACCCTTTTTTTCACTTTTTCTTTGGCAATGCGCAAGAAAAAGAAAAACAACTACGAGATTGCACTATATTTGAGCGATAAGTTGAAAGCGGTACACCCTTTGTTGGAGTTTCTTTTGTTATTTGAAATATTTGAGGATATGTTTTGGTAAATTCTTATATAATGTATAAAACTGTGGAAAGAAGATCGAACATTTGTGAACTTTGTTAATCGTTCGACATTTGTGCTTTAAAATGTATATAACATATAAAATATATATAAAGCTTATTTGTTAAATAAGTCTTTGAAAAACTAAGATTATTTCAAATTAAAAATTACTCCTTTTCTTTTTTAGTTTAAAGACAAGCTTAGCAATACAAATTTTTTCATGGCAAACTTTTAGAGAAGACAGAATACTGCCTATAATTGAACTGCATTTTTAATCATCATCATTAGATCTAGCTTTTTTTAAAACAATCACAAAATTAAAATGAGAAACTCGAGACCCACTATCAGATATAGGGCATTACGGCAAATAAGAGAACGAATGCGAAGCGTCCAAGTAAAAGTCCATAATGTTTAAATTGTGGTTCTCTACAAAAGCGAAAAATCAGCACAGCGAGTTTTTATTTGCATTAAGAAATTATAATTATGGCAGCTGCTTTCCCTCGCTGTCCAACCCCTTCTGCCCCTTCCCCCTCCCCATCCACACCCACATGCCCCCTCATCAGCGTGTTTCTACCGCTTTTGGGGTTACTTTTGCCCTTTGCCGTAGTTTGTTGGCTTGTGTCTGACGGGTCTGGTGGTGCCTGGTTGCCTGTTTCCCTGGTTCTTCGGCTTCTCTGGCTCCCTGGCTCTCTGGCTGCGTGGGGTGCACACTTTTTTAATTGAAAAGTGCAAAATAATGTTAAAGAAAAGTAAAAAGTAGTCGTAGCACAAAGTATACGCCAAGTATCCCGACCCCGTTCGCACTCGTTCCCTGTCCCCTTGCCATTTGGAATCCCGAGAGGCACGCCATCGTTTGTTTGTACTTGTGTAGGTAGCGAGCATTGTGGGCAGATGAATGCAGTTTGCTGCCTCTTGCCTCAGTTTTTCTATCCTTTTTATTTCTCTGTGCCCCAGGGTTCGGAATGCGGGGGCTGGTTTGCGTGTCCCGCTTCGAGGAGCGTTCCGAGGCATAAATTGTGGCCAGAACAGAGCGTGAGGATGGCTTGTTTCTTCCCGGTAGCTGAGTTACTTGGGGGGTTCATTTTTACGAAAGGTGGGACCTGGTTTTACACGGCTAAGGGTGGATTAATCGCAAGGGTAAAGTGGTCAGCAGCGAAATCTTACAAGTTTCAATCGAAAAGTCAGACCTGTTTTCTCGTTTTTTTGGTACAAATTTATGCTTACCATTTAAACTGGAAATTTTTACTTTTACTCAGATTAAAACATTTTCTTAAAGAAAACTTGCCGTATACTAAAAATTCTATTGTTGGTGCTTTTGTGTTCAAATAAAATATCAGAATTAAAAGAATATTAATAATGAAATGCAAATTTGGCATTTTAAGATAATTTTTTGATATGAACAAGACTGCCCTGACAATTATTTTAATTTTTATTTGCGTATATACAAGAATGAATAGCGATACCACATCTTAAGCTCTAAAATTTTAAATCAATTCTTTGTTCATGACTTAATAAAGTGAAGTGCCAATGCTGACAACTATTAAGGCCTAGAAAATGTTTTAACCAAATATCTGGATAAATAAGAGATACATTTTCAAAGGCTTTAAAACCATTTAAATAAATTAGATTACCCAAGGCCAGCGTCCAAATCACTGGCTATCGAGGTGGGCAAGTGTTCCATTGATGGGCAATCTTAAGATACTTCCTGCGGGTAATCAGCTTATATAATAAGTTGCCTTTCCACACTCTGCCAGTTATCTAATTTGCAGTGCCGGAATCAACACTTTGTAAAGCTGCCATAACAAGCGTTAAGTGGATGAAAGCCAGCTTCCATTTATCGGTAATTGCGTCGCTCGCTGCGATTGTCGGGGCGTTCCATCGAGCGCTCTTAGCTCGAAATGCATACAATTTGCGCTACTTATGCTAAAATCGCAGCTGCATTCCAGCAGCCCAGCAGCCATGGAGTCATCATGGAGCATGGAGCATGGAGCATGGGGCATGGAGCACCTGGCTGGTTTTGCAGCCAGAACCAGAGAGAGTTTGCCATCTTCAATCGGCGGCGAAGGCCCAATGAAGCATGTAATTCGCCCAGCACTAGCGCGCTACAAGTAATACCAAATTGATGGCGCGAAAATTACGACAAGCGCTT